CCACTGAGCTAAAACCTCAGCTCTATAGTTCAGGTTTTTTTTGTTGTTGTTGTTTTTGAAACTGGATTTTCTTGCCAAATTGCATGCTAGGCTCAGACTCTCAATCCTCCTGAGTCAGTTTCCTGAGTAGTTGGGATTATAGGCTTCTTTGCATGCATGCATCTTTGCTTCTTTAGAAGATATCTTCAAATCTGTTCATTGTACTTTACCTTGGTCTCCGTGCTTTTCTCCTACAACGTTTAGCTTTAATTTGGTCAGGTGAGTCCTTCTACAGCCTTCACTTTTTTCTTGTCCTAATAAATTCGGGATTATGAAAATATCCTTAGATAGCTCCTTATAATGCCTTTGTCACTTTATAGTCTATGATTTGCTCTTCAGTCTACTTAAATTTCTTATTTGTTATATGAGATAGGAATTTAACTTAATTTTCTTCCAAGTACACAATTTATGGTCATCAGTCCACTTAGTAACTAGTGCACCTGACTCCATTTAGAATACCCCTTTATCAAGAATTCTCTCTCTGCATCTGCACGTGATTAACAGTGTAGCCTTCATTTTATTGTTTCCCAATAGCCATTTAAGTGTCATCTTCATTTGGTATTTCATATCCCATTTATTTACTTAGAACTTCAGCATAATGCTTTTTTTTTTTTTTTTTTTTTTTGGAACCAGGGATTGAACTCAGGTCCTTGCGCTTGCAAGGCAGGCCACCGAACCGCTGAGCTAAATCCCCAGCCCTGCATTTTAAAATTCAATACTCACTTTAACCTCATCCTAAGCTTGTAAAATCATAGGTTTAATTTTTTCAAGTTAAACATTAAAATACATGTATAACTTTTGAAGTGACAAATATTTATGTACCACTTTAAATAGTCTTACATTTCACAAGCAGAATGCAGAACTGCTTTGGGGAAACACCATGGTATTCTTTTGGCTGATGAATTTACCTGTTTCTGGGACAATACATCACTTTAGCTTTATGGCATATTTTTGTTGTTGTTTTTAATTTTTTATTTTAAAATAGTTATAGAGTTAGAAGAAGTTGTAAAAATAATAGGGAGAGGTCCTACATATACATCACCTGACCCTCTTAATATCTACAGCACAACACCAACACGAGAAAATTGATATGGGCATGACGTCACTAATTGAACTACAGACCTTCATTAGTTTCACCAATCTTTCCTTGTGCTTGTTTTTATGTCCTCATGTATAGTTCTGTGTTTTACCACATTTTCAGACCCATATGATCATCATGACAAAAATACAGAGCTGCAGCGTCCTCACAAAAAGCCTTCTGCATGCTGCCCATTTATGGTCGCGTCTGCCCTGTCTTCAAACCCTGGTAACCACTGGTCTGTTCTTCATCTCTATAATTTTGTCTTTTTGAAGTTACCTTAATACAGCGCGTAACTTTTGAGACTAGATGTTTTTACTCAGTATAATTCCTCGAGAACATTGTTTTGTGTCTCAATAGTGATTCCTTCTTCTTGCTGAGTGGTTGAAAAGGCTGTGATGGTTTGTTTAGCCGCTGGACATCTGGCTTGTTTCCATTTGGCAGCTATACAAAGAAAGCTGCTATGCACATTTTTGTATAGGTTTTTGTGTGAACATAAACTTTCATTTCTCTGAATAAATATTCAGGAATGCCATCGTTAGATTGTATAGTAACTATATATTCAACTCTAAGATAGTGCCAAGGGCTGGGGATGTAGCTCTGTGTAGAGTGCTTGCCTAACATGCCTGAGGCCTTGGAGTCAGTCCTCAGCACTGAGAAAAACAAAACTAAACTAAACTAAAAACTGAAAACAACAAAAACTGCCAGGCTAGTTTCCAAAGTGGTTGTACCAATTTACATTCCCACCGGCAAACTATGAGAAATCTGGTTTCTTTGCATCCTTCCCAGCCTTTGGTACTCCCCATATTGTTTTAGTTAGCTTTTCCAGTAGCTGTTTCTCATCACCACTCTAATTCACTGTTCAATAACGGCGAGTGATGTGAATATCTTTTCATGTGCTTATTTGTGTGGCATGTTTTGAGGTGGCAAGTCTGGGGTTGCCTTTCCTGTATGGGGGCCCTGAGGGAGATGGCTGACCTTGGCCACTCCCTGAGGTAGCTGTGTTCCTCTTAGCTCTTGTAGGAGCCCGGAAGGGTAGGCCAGATGTGATTTGACCTTATGATGAGGGCTTGGGCTCAGAAGCTTCAGGGTGGGCTCCAGGAGGCAACCTTGGGGAGAGCCTGAAGCCTCCAATATCTGGTGTGACAGCTCCCTCCCTTTTATCCATATCCTCAGACACATTTGATAAAACCAGCCTTTGGTGATAGACTCACTTAGGGTATTGTAAGGAAGTTCTAAATCTTGTCTCACAGTTGTTGGTAGTGTAATCCAAGCAAAGGGGACCAACCTAATCACAACGTTGGTAAAATTTGAGCCCCCCCTTTTTGGTACCACGGATCAAACTCAGGCCCTTGTATTTGTGAGGTAGGCGGTGAAACCACTGAGCTAAATCCCCAACCCCACCCTGTTTTTTGTTTTTGTTTTTTGAATGTGGAAGGAATTAAAGTTGGGGAGCTTGAGTTGTCCCAGGAGGCGCAGCATCCAGGCAGGACCTAGCCTGGCCTGGCAGGGTGAAATGTGGGGAGAGCCACCTCTAAGTAGTGATGGCTCTCTCCGCTCTGACTCACCTTCTTCCTGACTTTGGCTGTGACTTCCTGACCCGAAGATGCTTGAGAACATCTGAGATCAGGGGCAGGACATGTGAGCCAGGAACCCTGAGAGTACACCCTGGAGTATGGAATGCTTACTGGTGTGGTCAGGAGCCAGGAAGTTAGACTTATGAAGTCGGGCTTAGAAGAGTGTCTAAAGTGAACCCTCTAGGGCAGGGATCCTAAAAGTAGGATCACAGTTCCCATGGATCATGAGAAGCTTCCTGGCAAACAGCACACTCCATGCTCTTCAGGGGAATGATGCACCCATCCAGAAGATTCCTCTTTTACCCATGACTAAATCCTCTGTCACCTGAAACCTATCAACTAAATTATTAAGGATGACTCAAAGAGAGGGTATTCATGAAGTAAAATGAAAGCATTGCTAGTGTTTATTGAACACCACCACTGTGATCTTCAGTAACATATTTAAAATTTGATCCTCTATTTCATCATCTATAGAATGGGGATAATAATGGTTCCACCTTCACTGAAATATTGGGAAAGCTAAAGTGCTTAAGACAGTGCCTGCCCAGAGCAAGTACTGCAGAAATGTCAGTTGTCCTTATGATTCAAGTGTGAGCAGCCTGAGCCACTAACATTTCCTGCACATTGCAAGGGACAGTTGTGCACGCCCCCTGGAGGGAGTTGGAATTCCTGCAGTTGTGGGGCTGGTATTACTGGGCCTCCTCAGGGCTGCCTTAAATGGGAAGCTGTCATTGCTAATGTTCTTCCCATAAAATGATAAATTACTGTTAGCTTTGGTTCGCTGTTAGTGACATCATTCATTGGGAATGGTTTGGCAAATTCTACAGGATACAATAGTGCATATTTCCACAGTATGATTTTTTTTTTTGAGACAGGGTATTAGTACACAGTCCAGGCTGACCTTGAACTTGCAATCACCCTGCCTCAGTCCGATGCTCTGGGATTATAGGTGTGTGCCTCCATGCACAACCATGACCCGGTTTTTTGGGTTATTTTGTTTTTGCGACAGGGATCAATTCCAGGGCCTTGATCATGCTAGACAAGTGCTGCATCACTGAGTTATACACCCAACCCCACAGTCTAATTTTTGGTTTGGGGAGTTTTTTGATTTGTTTTTGATTTTGAGACAGGGTCTCACTATGTAGCCCAGGCTAGTCTTGAACTCACTGTGTAGTCCAGGCTGGCCTTGAATTCACAGCAGTCCTTCTGCCTCAGCTTCCCAAGTGCTGGAATTACAGGCTGCACAGTCTAATTTTTTTCCCCGACAGACTAATTTGTAACAGCATATTGTTTAACTTCAACATATTCTAATAGCTAGATTTAAGTCAGCAGTGAGTGTGGTTTAAATATGGATCTTTTTTTTAAAACATGGATCATCTTTATCCTCATAATGAATGGTGATGTATAAATGTCACCACTATCCTCCAAATAGTTTGTGTTTTTTCAACACTTTTTAAAAATGAGCTTTAGATTACTGGAGACCTTGTGCATGGAAGGTATGGGTCTAGAGCCCAGATAGGGTGTGCTGTTCAGGCCCATGGGAAGCGAAGCAAGTCTCTCTCTGGAAGGCACTCCAGCATCCTGGGGTGGTGGCCACTGTCCTTGGGCTTCTCTTGTGAATCCCAGCTCCATTCTTCCCTCTGTCTTACACCAGCTAACCTCCTTATGGACCCCTGGGAGTCAGTGGGGCAGACTGCACACCCTTGATCACGCGCGCACACACACACACACACACACACACACACACATACACACACAGCTTAGCACCTGGCTTCTGGACTTATCTAGTATAAGTGGATGGACCACATCCAGTTCTCATCCTTCTTTCTTTCTGTACTTGAGGACTCAGCATATTTATTTCCATTTGGTCCTTAGTCAGTTAAGGAAACAGAATCCTGGCTAGGCCAGAGTGAATCCTTTGTGCCCAGGCCTTCAAAAACCTGACATTTGTACTGATAATATGTTTATTTGTACTGAATATATATAATATAATATAATAATATATCATATATAATTATACAATATAATATATATCATAATCATACACTATAATGTATATCATATATAATTATATAATATATATCATATATCATATATAATATTATATATATATATATTACATACAATAACCTATATTGGGTGACTGGGTGATTGAAGAAGCTGGGCTCAGATGGGTTAAGCAACTGTTAGATGCCACAGAGCCAAGCCCAGGCCAGAGGAGCTTCCTGTTAGGCTCTTATCAAAATGCTTGTTGGTGACCTAACCAAGCTAGTGAACCAACCTAACGCCCTTCATGGACCCTGCAGATGCCAAGGGGACCATCCGAGAAATTGTTCTGCCCAAGGGATTGGACCTGGACAGACCCAAGCGTACCCGCACATCCTTCACTGCTGAGCAGCTGTACCGCCTGGAGATGGAGTTCCAGCGCTGCCAGTATGTGGTGGGGCGTGAGCGCAACGAGCTGGCCCGCCAGCTGAACCTCTCCGAGACCCAGGTAAGAGGTCAGGCCCAGGCCTCACACCTGTCCTGGCAGCCTGAAAACTCTCTGGGGACTGAGGCTGTGGGCTGCAAGGGGAACTGTACTTTGGGGCAATTCAGACATGCATGGATGATGGAAAGACTTAAAGCTACAGGTGAACCACAGCAAACACAGTGCTGGCCAGAGTACTGTTAAGTGGCAAGGGGAGGGGTCTTCCGGGAGCATCAGGTGCCCTGTGGAAGATGGGAAAGGTCAGAGAAATTGGAGACACTCAGGGTGTGGGGAGTGGCTTAGGGAGATGTTGGCAGATAAGAGAAACCTCAAGAAGCGATGGTAAGGGGTTGGCTTCTGGGGCAAGGCTAGTCATGGGGGCACAAAGCAGATTCGGAGGAGAGGAGACATGATCCAGTTAGGCTGGACACCTCTCACTCCCCCAGTCTGGCCCTTTGTCACTGTTCATCACTTGGCATTCATCTCAGTGTGCCTTGGTCCCCCAGGTGTAGTGGAGGGGTCTGGACACCCCCTTCACCCAGGAAAGGCTAAGCTAGTGGGCCCTTTGGTGAATCCTCATTTCCCTCTGACAGCTCGTTCTCTTGCTTTCTTCCCTGACTCTGGCATCCTGCAATAGGATAAATAACATATGGCTGATAATGATTGAGAGCTTCTCATGGGCCAGGCCCTGTTCTTAGGCCTCACATAACCTAACTAGTTTGAGTCTCATCACAACCTTGTGGGATCGGTGAGGTGTTCTGACTCCAAATGTGGCTGTGTCCCAACACCAACCAGCAGCCAATTCTCCAACTGGATGTCTAACAATTCTGTTCTGACCCTGACTCCCAGAATTATCCCATGACTCAAAGGAGAGTTCAGTCCCAAAACACAGCGCCACTGCACGTGCCAGTCACAAGTCCCAGGTGCCACCTGCACTTCTGACCGAGTAGCTCTTCATTAGGGGTTTCCTGTTCCCTTCCTCACAGAGCAGAGGAAGACACTTCACTTTATCACAAGGGACACGAGTTAGTACCAGCCAAGCAGAGGAGACTCATGGGGCAAGGGAGCAGAAGGAGCCCTCCCTTCTCCAGTGTCCCAGCCTCCCAACACTTCCACCCAACATCCAGACACCTGCCCCTGTAATTGGGGGGTGCTGAAAATTCCCACCCTGTAACCAAGTGTTTTCTCTTTCAGTGACCAGCTTCTGTACTGAACCTATCAGGCTACCCAGAGTCATCTCATTAACATAAATTCAAGGGTAGTGGGAAAGGGCTCCTTCCTTAAGAGTAACAAAGACACTTTTCACTCAGGATACTCCAAGGGTATCAGGAGCTCTGTGTCAGGATCCAGGACAAAGACCAAATACTTTTTTATAATCTATCTATATTCAGAAGGAAACTGAGTCACAGGAACTTTACATAACTTGCTCAAGATTTAAAAGAGGCACATTATTAGCTCATTTAATCTTAGAAGAGTTGGTTTTGTGGATAATATTATCCTCTATTAAGAAAACTGAGACTCAGGGAAATTAAGTTGCCTAAGATTATTTAGCTAGAATTCCATGGAATTGTTAGTGTATGTATTTATCCATACTCTTGTTCAAAAACATTGCTGAATGCCTGCTATCTATCATGTACTGTTCTGAGGCACTGAGGTTATAGCAGAGACCAACACAGAGTAGGCACCTGCCAGTTGAGGCTTACATCTATGGAGAGAAAGACAAACAGCACTTCTGAGTGATAAGTGCTCTGAGGGACACGACATAGGGTAGTGTGATAGACTCAGAGGAAATCTTTCATTGGGATGGTCAGGGAAGGCCTCTTTGAGGAGATGCACTACACTTAGACATCAGAGACAGGGAAGAGATGACCAGAGGAGGAGGCAGAAGAGAAGTCATGGCAGAAGGTAACCTAGGCATGGAACCTGACATAGAATGTTCTAGACGTGTCAGAGCCCTGTGTGGCTGGAGTTGGAGCAAATTACGTAGTTCTTAGAGCCTATGGTAAAGCCTTAAAGAATGACATGAGATGATTGGCATTTTATAGGAGTCACTCTGGCTGCCATGTAGAGTATGGATCACAGGGGACGAAGTGGACCAGTTAGGGGCTGATGTGGTGTCTTGACCAGAGTGGAGGAGGAGAGAAGCAGAATGATGTGAGATGCACTCCATCCCACTGTGGGTTGCTAGCACAGAGCGAGGAAAAGGAAGTGGTTTGGCTTGAACGCCTGGGGGAGTGGTGAAACCCTTTATGAGTGGGGAAAGTCATAGGAGGTGGACAGTGGAGCAGAATCAAGAGCATGGCTCAATCCGTTCTACTTGTGATTCAGGGGAGATGTCAGGAAGGTGTGTCAGATATTTTGAGGGGGGGTTTGTTTTCTTTGATTTATCTGATGGTCTTCAGTAGGGCTTTTTTGGGGGAAAGGATGAGAGATTCTTTCAAGTGTGCTCAAATAATAGATGGATTACTAAGGGATTAAAAAAAAGGAGGCCCTGGGCTGGGGATTTAGTTCAATGGTTCCAGTGCCTGCTTTGCAAGCGCAAGGACTTGAGTTCAATCCCCGGTACCAAAAAAAAAAAAAAAAAAAAAAAA